CCCTGCAGCATGGAGGGTCACGGTGGGTCAGAGACCCCCCCGCAGCCCGGGGAGGACCCCATGCCGGAGCAGGGGGATGCCCAAAGCAGGCTGTGACCCCGTGGGCAGCCTGCGCTGGAGCAGGCTCCGGGCAGGAGCTGTGGCCCATGGAGAGAGGAGCCCAAGCTGGGGCAGGTTTGCTGGCAGGACTGATGACCCCGGGGGTGCCCAGGCTGGAGCAGGCTGATCCTGAAGGATGGCACCCCCTGAGGAGGGATCCACTGGAGCAGTTAGTGAAGAGCTGCAGCACGTGGGAAGGACTTGCATGGGAGAAGCTGGTTTAAGATTTGGGTTTAGTTCTCTTGATTTGATTGGCGATTCAGTTCTTTTTTTTTCTGAGCCAAGTCTGTTCTGCTTGAGATGGGAAATGATGAGTGATGGTAACTGATGAGTGATCCCTGTCCTTGTCCTAACCCATGAGCCTTTCATTATATTTTCACTCTCCTGCCCAGCTGAGGAGGGGAGTGACAGAACGCCTTTTGGCACCCAGCTTCCAGCTGGGGTCACCCCACCACAGAGACAGAGGAGTAAAGGCAAATTGCTGAGGTGAGGTGCTGCTGTCCGTTATGAGCAGGGAAACGGCATGGCTTCGAAGGATGCGTGCCTTGCTACATTCATAAGGCATCTCATGCCTGCGTTCTCCCTTTACCTAGTAGAGCCATAGTGCACTTCTCCGTGGGCTGTAGTGGCAGGTTGAGGCTTATGGGTTCGTTCCTATCTGCGGGAAGGTGCACTTAGTGCTGAACTACTTGTTTGGCTCTCGGGTCTGCATCCCCTCCTTTGCTCAGATCTGCCTGTGCCTCACTCCTTCCCTTGCCGGGAGCCCTGCCGTAGTGTTCTAGTCAAGGTATGAGCTGTTGAACATCCTCTCCCGCTGTGCCCTAAAACAAAGGGCTGTTGTGTTCCGCATTTGTCTTTGCTGTGTGCGGGGGCTCCCCAAAAAGAGGCTCTTCCTTCCCTCTATTCCACCCAGGTCTGCATATTTACTCTTTTTTTATCTTAATAGATAGGAAGTCTGAGTTGATTGTATCTTTGTATGGCTTTTGAACTGTGAGGTTGTTATTGCTAGTGGTACCTCAGGTGCAAGGGACTGACAAAACTGTTCTGAAAGACCATTTCGTGTACCCAGACACTTAGGAGATACTTGCAGTAAATTAAGACAATGGGAACAAATTTCACTCTGCAAGTGAAATGATGCTTAAAACACTTGAGCTGCAAAAGTTGCTTATAGCTGTTTCAGGTTTGCTATGAAATGACACTGAGCACAACATGCTTTTAAATTTGTTTCAGTACAGGCTAAATTCAATTAAGACTGAAAACAGTAGACTGTCTTGTGTGTCATGGGCCTACTTTTCTGTTTTTCTGGTCCTGTAACGGGTAAAAGGTGCTTCTGGATGCACTATGCCAAAATGCCTTAAGCATCTTAGGGAAGAGCCTGCTGCCACTGTGTCCTAGCAAACTGTAATTCAGTCCTCTAAAATAAATGTTCCATTAACTCCTTGCTTCTCTTACGGCTTGTATTTACTCAGTTAAAGAGAGAAGTTCCACGTAGGCATGTAATATTACACAGTAAGCCTTATTTGTATGCAACACACTGCCTCAACTCCTACTTGACGGTTTGAGGAGTGGCTCCTTCATCCCACAGGGAACAGTAAGGTTTAAATAACGCTTGTTGGTAACAGGAAGCAAATGAAGAATTCTCAGTAAATCAATAATTTTACCTGTATCCTACACAGGTTGTCATACAGACCCTTTCTCGCTGGTAAAGGTTTCATTTGCTTTTGGGTCATGTTTGTCAGTGAAAGGCGAATCACGTGGTTGGGTTGGAATAGGCAATCCTGCAGCCAATTGCTACAGTGCCCGGAGGTCCCTTTCCATGTCTTTTGGGTTGCTATCCTCAGTCTCATCGCTGCCCACCTGCATGACCGGTAGTGGGTAATAATCTGAGGGCTGAACACGACCAGGGAGCTTCCTGGTGATGTCCCTAACCTGAGCCCCCGGGAGGCAGCAGACTTCCCTGTGGGGTGGGTCTGGTCAGCACATTGGGCCCTGGGTTCCCCTCAGAAGGGAATCACCTACGACAATGACCCTCTTTTCCTTAACGGAGTCAGGCGTAACTCGTGGGGCTGATGGAGTCATCCTGGGCACCCCCCTGGGTGG